TTTCCCTGTTTGTTGGGCTGTTTGCTACGTAATTTAAAAATTTAAATTCAAAATTATTAAAATGATGAAATTCATATTCTTGGCTCTTGTTAATTAAAATATATTGAAACAAATGTTATCCTCTGATACTTGAATTTTGAATTTACATGATGTAAAAATATGAATTTTTTTTTTTTGCGAATGAAAATGAAAAGGGGAGGAGAAGGAGAAGGGGAGGAGAGTGGTGGACGTGGGGTGTGGGATAGGAGGGAGCTCAAGGTACATGTCCCTCAAATATGGAGCAGAGTGCAGTGGCATCACCCTCAGTCCCTTTCAAGCTCGTCGAGCCAATGAACTCGCCTCTGCTCAAGGCCTCTCTCACAAGGTCTCAGTCCTTATGCCTCTTCCTATCTTGCTTTATGAACATCTTTTTTCTGTCGGATTGTTGGTATCTTTCGTCTGAATCATCATAGTTTTAGTATGCTGGTAGTTTATGCTGGTCCGTATCTTTCGGATCTCTAACTCTAGTCTCGGCCTCCACCCCCTCCGTTTGCCTTCTCTCCCTTGCCTCGTGCCCGACCCCTTGGGGCCTCGCCTGCTCTCATCTCGCCCCTCTCTCCCTCCAGTTCGAGTATCTGTGGGGGTACGAGAGAAATCCGAACCCAGAACCCAAAAATTGGATTCTCCATCATCGGATTCACAATTATTCTAATGGGTGAATGAGTATCCGAAATTTCGAATGCCCCGACTCGCGGGTGGACTGGTACTCGAAATTGCAGTTCCCATGCCAACCCTCCATTATGTAACTTTGTTATCCATATTGATTGGCAAGTACGAATTGACTGACGAGAATTGTACGAATTAGGTCTCGTTTCAAGTGGCGGATGCTTTGCAGCAGCCGTTTGAAGACGGGAAGTTCGACCTCGTCTGGTCAATGGAGAGCGGTGAACACATGCCTGACAAGCCCAAGGTCAGTCCTCTATTCCATAATCCTCTATTCATCTGAACTCGTTAATCTGGAGTTTTGCTTAGAGAGTAATAGTTTTCTGTATAGGTAAAACCTATATACTATAGTAGGATAATACCTTACATTGGTGACAAAAGCTATGCGGTGTTGGTGGTGAATCATAAGTGCAGTTTGTGAAGGAGTTAGTCCGTGTGGCCGCACCTGGTGGGACGATAATCATAGTGACATGGTGCCACCGAGATCTCTCTCACGGCGAAGAAACTCTCCAGCCATGGGAGCAGACCCTCTTGGACAGAATCTCCGATGCCTTTTACCTCCCTGCTTGGTGTTCTACCTCCGATTATGTCGCCTTGCTCGAGTCTCTTTCTCTCCACGTAATTCCATTTCCTCGTCCTCGTGGCGAAATCGTTTAAATAGTAACAAGTTTTGGATTCCAAAATTAAGGAACATTAGGACAAGATATAACGTTACGTGTTTGGTTGGTGAAGGACATCAAGTCTGCAGATTGGTCGGAGAATGTTGCTCCGTTTTGGCCGGCGGTTATACGAACTGCCTTGACATGGAAAGGCTTCTTCTCTCTGCTTCGCAGCGGTAAGTTTCGCTATCTTTTTTTTTCGGTTTTATGACAATTTCGGTTATTTCTCGAAATTGTGGATTTGATCATGTGAAAGCTCCAATCGACTAAATGCGTATAAACTTATGCAAGATCATGAGAGCTGAACCACAATCTGTCCTTGGATTTTGTTTTTGTGTGATCCTTCAGAATTGTAGAAACTTTATAAAGGTTTATGAAGTTTTCTTGTAACTTCTTGAAAATGTTCTTTTATGCTGTCCAAAGATATTGGAACTGTTTTGTCTTCAAAGATCTTGTTTGTTTCCGTAAAGGTTCAATACATTCCAAAGATCTTGGAACTGGTTTGTCTCCAAAGATCTTGGAACTGAATCAGTATAATTTTCTATTTTTATTGATTATTTTTTCTAATTTTTTTCCGGATGGAACAGGTCTAACGAGTATCAAAGGAGCATTGGCGATGCCGTTGATGATCGAAGGATACAAGAAAGGTCTCATAAAATTTGCAATTGTCACGTGTCGAAAGCCTCAGTAAACGCAAAACGCAAACGCAACAGTTGCGTTCGAATAGTTAAACATAGTTTTATATCTATATTACGGGCGGGTAAGTGCTTCTAATAAGCTAGAGCATATAACAGTTTTATTTTATTGTACATATAACTTATTTTAATTACCTATATTGGCGAATGCACTTTTTTTTATAACAGGTGTAATTAATAATTTTATAATAATTTTTATCGACATAATTTTCCTTTTCCTTACCTATATATTATTGACTCTTTATCTTTATTATTATTATTATTATTATTTTAGTTTTTCTACCCAATAAAACAAAAAACAAGCATTTTTTTCGTTTTCCTAATCCTTGAGGTAATATATATATATATATAATGCATGGTAGAATAATATAGGCCTGCCACCGTAACCCTATGGTCGATATTATCATTCATTTTCTCAGGAATTAGTTCGATTTTCTTCACTAATAGATGAATTAATTCACAAATTAGTGAAACATAACTAAAAAAATTACAGGGCAGGACTCCAATTAAGATTAAAAGACTTCAGTTTCTTGAAAATTCAGGCATATGTTGTGATATGGTTCAATGACAAATTTGTACAATGGAATAGATCTTTGAATTATCATTTTTGTATGACAGCGTATCTGTCAAAAGCATAGTTAAGTATACTAATGCAAAAGCTATGTTTGTTGCAATGATGGTGTATTGGTGTTTATTTATTAAACTAATGAACATGTTTTCCCATGAATGCCCCTCACGTTATATTGGAATCTTATTGCCAACCAAAATTATATATATTAAATTTGTGGGCATTCGACCTTTGTAAATTTAATTTTTACATTTTTTTGGATAGCTTGATAGTATATCAAAGGTGGATGGATATTTATATTCATCCTATACAAAATGGAAGAGACCATTTATATTTATTATTCGATCTAAAATAATTAAAATATTGAGTGTAATTATTGTTTTAAAATAAACTTAAACAAATAATCAATATTCAATAAAATGAAACGAACAATTGATATAAAAAATATATAAATACAATTTTTAAAAAATCAAAATGTAACGATACCCTATGATCATGTTTTAAAACATTTTAAAACTTATTTAATTATATTTCAAACAATGATTAAGCCTTATCATGACAAAGTTCTTGTACGTAAAGAAATGTTTTTTCCCTTTTTTTGTTGTCACTAAAATGTGTGTGTTTTTTTTTTCAAAGTTTTTTCAGAAGAAAAAGGAATGGAAAGAGGAATTCAGGTGGCAGCAGCAATAGGGTGAAGCCGCGTTTCTCACACACTCCTCTCTGGGTTTCTCTTCTTCACCACAGTCAAAACCACCGAGAGAGATTCTCGAGAAAATTTTCTGGGTTCGTTCTCCATTTTCTTTTCGATTTTCCCGATAACGCCACAGATTCATTTGAGGGAGGGAGAGAGAAGACGAAAAATGAAAGTCTAAGACTAAGAGTGGGAGGGTTTTCTGTGAGAGGGAAATTTCTCCGAGCACTAAAACCCCTTGGGTGAGGTGCGTGTTTGGATCCTCTTCTTTATCCGCGTTTGATTTCGGTGTCTGTTTCTGGTCGGATGTTTCCGAGATGCCTCTTCGTTTTCGTTTTCGATTTCTTTTGGGATTGTTCATCGGATTTCTGCATCGTGATGTAATATCTTCGCATTCACTGCTCTCGTTTGACTGTCCATCCAGGCATCCCTTGATTTTTTTTAGGGTTTGATTAGGATTTATGGCATCTGTGTTTAATTTTACGGATGTTCTAAAAGATGGGTCTTCTTTTATTGCTTCATGTTCAAGTCAAGTATCCATGATTTTTAGCTTCCTTTTGTTTTTGCCCACTTGGTCCGCATTGGTTTTCATTTGATTAAGGTTTAGGACAATGAATGGATAATGCTGCGTTTGTTTTTCTTACCAATGTTGCTCATGCCTATTTGCTGTTATCCTGATTTTCGACGCTCTAGGTACTTATGTCATAGTGTTTCTCTGCCATGGTTTGCTGGTGTACGGGTTTATTATGCTTGGATGCTGTTTGTTAAACTTTATTCTTTAGAAATTATTGCAGTTTCTATGGTATTTTGCTCTGTTTTATTATGAAATTACTCGAAACTAGTCACAAGAATTCTGAACCTTGAATTACTTGTATGATTTCATTTGTAGACTACCCTCCCATGGAGGTTCTGCTGGTGTATTAGACTCTGGAATTTGGCAGCATAAAACTTCTAGTGCTCTCTAAACTGCAGCCTGGATCTCCTTGTTTCCTTCGCACAAAGTAAATTGTTAGACACTAGGATTCTTGTTTTCCTGATTGAGTCGTCTAATTTCTTATGATCAATAGGTGGTAATAAAGTTTTGTATCTGGTCAGTTTAGGTCATGTTTGGATGATAGAGGCACTTAACTCGCTCTTAAGATGAACACAAGAAGAAATGGGGTTTTCAGGCGTGAGAGAGTAGAGAATTTTCGGGGTGAAGGGCCAAACTGGATCCTCATTGCAGGCGGTGCACTGCTAAGCACATTGTCCATTCGGTTTGGGTATAAGTTAAAGCAGTCGTTCGACTCAAAACAACAAGAATGTGCAACTAGTGGATTGAAAGGTACGAGCGAAAGCATTTGCTTTTGGCTACAAACTAAAGCAGCCATGCCTCTTTCATGTCTTCTTACAGTCGGTTTGCTAATGTTTATCTCATTGAAAGGTTGTTATGCAGTAAATGGAACATCCGATAGAAGATCATCTCGCTGCTGTTTGCATTCCAATGTAGCTTCTTGTGCACAGAATGATGATTGTTGCTTCCACTGCATCCCAGGTTTGAATTTGTGAGCCATTTCTCGTATGATCCGCATCCCTTCAGTCTACTAAAACGACAATATATGTTACTTATGATCACCTAATCTTTTGCATATTAGCTTTGTTGTGTCTCTCTTATATTTGTTGTAGACCAATTCGAGAATGCGGGAGCAGAATTTTGCTGTTGATGGGTGTCAACATTTGGCATTTTGAGAAACTGTTGAAACGTTGTCTATGTGGTTACATTTTGAATCTTTGATAAGAAAACTTAGGGGGGAAATCCTACACTTGTTTCTTAGCTTAGGGTATCAGTGTGTTTGGACCTACATTCTGTTCTTTATTTGCTTTATAATATCTTGTTGTATGATCTCTGGAACTGAATCCTACTCCTCCACGATATTGTATAAAAATCTTCCTCTATTAAAAAAAGATTGTCACTGCTCGACAGCTTTTATGTACTTTGCTGTTTGATACAGGAACTGAGAGTGCAGAGGGAAAGCATGTTCCAAAGGAACAAATGGCTTCCGTACCCGATTTTCCCCTTCCTCTGGTTACAGTTCCTCCTCCAGAATTCAACAAAGAGAATGGCGTCATGTGGGCATCTTCTCCAGATCGTCTGGAATTACCCCCAAAGCCATTTAATCATCATTCAACCTGTTCAGACTCTCCTTGTGTATCTGAATCCGGCTCAGACATCTTCAGTAAGCGAGAAGTGATACAGAAACTGAGACAACAACTGAAGAGAAGGGATGACATGATCTTGGAAATGCAGGATCAGATCCTGGAGTTGCAGAATTCACTCAACGCGCAAATGGCACACTCCAGCCATCTGCAGGCACAGCTCGAGGCTACAAACAGGGATATATTTGATTCCGAAAGAGAAGTTCAGAGGCTCAGAAAGGCAATTGCAGATCATTGCGTGGGAAACGGAGGTAGTAACGGTAAGGGATCATCCCCGGTTGCAGCTTGGAATGGTCATACAAACGGGTTTATGGACAGAGAAAGCAACGAGTCACCCGAGAAGGGAATCAACGGTGAAGGGGAAAGGGTTGAGATGCTGAGACGGGAAGTGGGAGAACTGAAAGACGTGATAG